TCTTCCCTGTGTCCATCCCTTCATGAACTCCTACCCCCTGAGCTGTCTCCCTGTGCATAAGCAGCCCTTCTTTCTCTCATGCTTGTTCTCTCCAAAGAGTGTATCTACCTCAGGTAAATGTTCAACTCATATGCTATTGTTTGGCTGGAAGCCACAGGTGTGGGTTCAATTCCAGACCTGAAGGGCATCTAGGGGCCATAGTCTCAGTGGTTCCACCAGGCTGTACCAGGCCAGCAAACATGTTCCCTGATTTTTTTTTTTTCCAAATGATTTTGAGTTTTGTTCCACATTGTTCTCCCTGTCTATCCAGGATCTCTTACAAAGATCCTCTTCCAAATGGTTGACAGTAGTAGCCAGCCACCATCTAGTTCTTCTGGTCTCATAGTTGTATAGGCTGCAGATTGGATGGTGTACCAGTCACTAGGACTAATTGTTTCCATTAATTTTTGTTGTCTTCATTCTTCTTGGCTCTGGATGAGGAGAGACCCATTGTTACATCTAGACTGCAGCTTGTAAGCTTTTAAGATCTCAGTAGCTACTCGCCACAGTAGGAGATGGAACAATGTTTTGTGTAGTACGTTATGCCAATTGAGCTTGATGTCCTCTGCGACTATGGTCCCGAGCCTACAGGTTCAACTACTCGGTCCCTCTGGGTAGCTGACTGTGACCAAGCAGTGACTACAACCTTGCTCCTTGTCAGCCCCATTATACAGCTGGGAATTCAGATCATACACATAAAGTTATTGGACCGCTGTCTGCCAACCCTATACATGTTCTTGGGTGCACTCTTCACTTCATATACATACCTAATATTTCAGCCTGTCTACCCATCTATCCACCCATATACCCGTGTTTGCCTTCACTGACCATGCTGTACTATATGTGCAAAAGAGTTCATCTTTGTTGTCTGTACTTCCCACATACCTCTCTATGTCTTTCTCTTCCTCAATGCCACTACAGTGATCACTCCCATTTGGTACATTGCCCTTCTCTTCATGCAAGTCAAAACTTATCTCTGT